TGTGGCAATAGAAATTACTTAATTGACACCAGGGCTTGATAGAGAATTGCAGTCCATTCAGACACAGAGCTTCAGAATTGAAAGCAAAATAGGACAGTGCTTGTTCTCTTGGTCTGAAGGTGTGTAACTTCAGGGTACAAGGAGACAGAAGAGTTGAGGATGTGCCCAGCTTGTTGAATCTTCTTCAACAATGCCCATCGTGCTTGGAAAGCCATCAGCTTGCTGCACCACATGGATAGAATGCATTTTGTTAAGGGCCCTCTCATAAGGACAAAGAGGTGGTGTCACCCAGTGAGGAGCTGCTAGAGCAGAGGGAGCAGGCAGGGATGGCAGTGGGAAGCTGGTGTTTCTTTCCAGCCTGTTGACAGTCAGGAGGCTGTGAGCTGGCACACCAGAGGCATTAAATTGGGTCAGCAGTTGGCTTCACGTGAGCAAACCCAAGTTTTAACTGGTTGTTCTCCTGCACAGAGTTACCAGCACAGTGAGGATGAGCAGTTTCCCCTCACTCTCTGTTTCTGCCAACTCCTTGCTCCTTCCCCTTGGTTGTCTTTGCCAGAGCAACCCCTGGGCTTGCTTCTCTGAGGAGGGGACAGAGCAGGAGCACCATGGCTCTCCAGGCAGGACACTTGGGATACAGGAGACACTGTGAAATCCCACCGGGGATTTCAGTAGGACAGTTCCAGTATAACCAGTGCGACTCAGTGTGCCAGACCTCCACGGCATCCCATGCTTCTCCCCTGATAGCCACGACTGCCCTGTGCCATCTCCTGGGGACTCAGGCTCCATCTCTGAGGCTGACAAGCATCATCTTTGCCTCAGCCTCTATTTAGGGTCAGGGTCATGTTCCCTCTGAAATCCATTGGAATTTGTGGGTATTCATTTTCCTCCTTTCCACCCCCACAACAGAAAAGGAGTTTTTAATTTCCTCCTGTTCCAGGTTTAGTTGTAACTGCTTTGTTCTTTGACATAAATAAGTAGAACAAAATGAGTATCTAGAGTATTATGTGACTTCAGAGTTTCTGCTGCTGAAATCTGAGCAAAGATGTAGGATTTTATAACAGCTCAGTGCTGTGACATGGTTCCTATTTGAAGCATTTGAAGAACATGAATGGAAACAGCAGCAAGAAAAAAAAGCAGGTAGGGAAAAAAGATACCTTTTGTCCAGACCACAACTGATGAAAAAGAAATTGCATTAAGCCCTGGGCTTTTCTTTCAGATTAGGCTTCAGCTTTATAAAGAAATTCATTTTCCTCCTAGAAAATTTTCAGTAGCAGATTTTCCAGTCAGTCTTAGAAGACTAAAAAAAGCATCACAGTGAAAGAAAAGGAAATTATGAAGAAGTGAGAAGGGAGATGGAGAAAGTTGGAGCAAAAACTAAGAAGAAAGGACAAATGGATTCTAGGGTTTAAATAACAACCAAAACCCAGGGAAAAGTATACAGAAAAAGAGGAGTCCATTAAAGACAGAACAGTGAGCTGTAGTTCAGGGAATTTTTAGAGGCACTTTTTAGGAGGAAGAGAGGCAGTGTGTGCAGGAAAGAGAGTGGTATTATTTTTCAGAAACTGTAGGTATCTTGTTCAATGAAGCAGAATGAACTTGGATATGAATTAGGGACAATAAGTGTAGTCAGGTGCTCCTTGGATACTGGTGGGACCTTGAGGGCTGGCAGACATAAAGGCTTTTTTTTTCCTCCAGATCTGAATGACTTGCACTAAAGCCATGAGTTTGATCAAGGGGCTGTTTATTTTAATCATGTATCGATTGGCTTAACCACACTGCCCTGGGAGGGAGGGAGAGCTGTCAGCATCAAGAATTATAGCTTTCAAAGTTCCAAGTAATCCTAGGAAATGAGCCAAACATAATAAATGCAGTTTTATTTGGGACCTGATCCTACTACTGTTGAAATCAATAGCAGTTTTTCCATTACTCTCAATGAAAGTAGAAGCTGCTTATTTGAAGACCAGCTCTGATCCAGCAATCAGGGCATCTAATTTTGAAATAGTCATGAATGTGAATGTAAAATAATAATAATTTTTTAAAAGAGCCAGCCCACAAATAGATTGGCAGTTCTAGGAAAGCTTAGTTTTTAAAGGAATGTTGACTTCAATTTGCAGAATACAAAATAAATGACAGAAAAATAAGAGAGATGGCAATGTCTAAAAAAGCAGTGAGCTTAAACAGGGTTAGAAGAATTAATTATAATGTGGTAAACTGATGTCTTTCAAAAGTCATTGAGGCAGAAAAGGATGTGGGAACACTGAGAAGCTCACGATATACAGTCTGCACAGGTCGAATTTAGTAGAAAAGGGTCCTTGAAAGGAGAAGTAATGATGATACACATCATACTGCAAAAATAGTCCATAAAAGTGGTACAGCCATACAGTCATTCTTCAAGCAACATTCCCATCAAGGTGAAAGACACTCTGAATGTGTAATTTGCTTTTAGTTTTCTAACAGAAAGAAGCTAGGAAAAAACCCACTTAGTTATCACTCTAGTCAACAATTTAGCATGCTGAATCTTTAATCAAAGTTTATATGCATTGGCCAGAAAAGAAGTATCTGCTTTGCTGTGGTTTCTGGTGTTCAGATGCAAGACAGGGCATGTATTTTAGCATGTGTAAATATTTACAAACACATATCTGTGTCTACAGCCAGACTTTGATTTTCCCACTTCCATCAGCATTTGGAAAAGCACTGTTTGAAAGATTTGATTTTTAGTGACTATTAAATGAGGTGGCATCCATGATGTGCTTGTCCTGGAGGCTCCTCCTGGAAGGCGTTGCTGTGCTTTGGTCGCTTGTCTTCAGCTGTAAGAAGCTTGGAGCGGATCATTACTGTAATCCCAAAGCAAAAACTGAATACACTGTATTTTCAGATGTGTAATCTGATCTATAATCAGATGTGTAATGCGTTGTCTGTAAAAAAAAAAAATCAGTGGTTCAACAGTACTGGGAGTTGTGTCTGTTTTGACAACCAGCAGATCCTGGCTGTGCTGGCAGCTTTCCCTCATGGGCATCACTGCCCGCTCTGTGCAGCACCTCCCCCTTCCTCTACCCCTCATTTTTTTGCATGTTACGAGGGACTACATTTCAATGCCAGTATTTTTTTAAAGGGTATGGGTTATCTGAGGTGCAGACTCTACATGTGAAGATCTGATAGCTGTAGCCCAACAGATGGCCCAAGCCAAGCTGGCTGTGAAAACACTCCTCTTATGGAAGTATTTTCACCTGTGCATCAAAGATTGGTCAGTCATGGGGGGGCAGCAAGAGAGCCTGGTTATTGCAGGGTATTTTACCTGAGGAAATTTGTGCAAGGCACAGACTCTCCTGTAGAAGGGTCTCCTGGCTGCACCAGCAAGCAGGTACTTGAGAAGTGCAAAGTGCCCATGCTTGATCCCTTGTTCTATTTTTCAATGTTTTGCCAGCATTGATTTGATAATTGATTACTCCATCCTCAGTTAATGAGGCTTTGTACCAGTCTATGTCAGAGCAGTTCTGGGCCTTCCCCAGTCTGGATTTTTTCTCCCCTCGCTATCAGATCAGGCTCTTGCAGTGTGACTGGGCTCAGCCTAGGGGCACACCATAAATAGCAGGCTTGACTGATGCTTTTTATTTATCCATATTGAGTTCATCAGATGAAGCCAAAGCTTTCTGGGGCCATCTGAAGCTTTCTGGAGGGGATACTCTCACAGTCAGATGTGGCTCCTGGAAGGCAGACGTGGTCTCCAGGAGGCAGACATATGCCTCAAACTTGGATCACTCTTTTTGGACTATGTGGTTGTAAGAGCATTTTTTCACAATATATTTCCTTGGGGGAATCTGATGGACTTAGATCTCGGATACCATCCCCACTAAGTGATACAGTAAAAATAACCTATTATTCTCTGGTTCTGACCTGGGCGGTGACAACATATTGTTTCAGCATCTCTGTCAGACTATTTCCCTTAAGAGCCATTTTAGCCTCACCCAGTGGGACATAGCTAAAGGAAATGAAACTCCAACCCCATTAAGGAAAAAGACAATGCCTTTCACTAAACAAACTTACTTTTCTTGGCTTTTCTTCACCAGGGAGAATCGCCCTTACCCCCCACCCTTGCAGCCTTTGTAGACAGTTCCTGTAATTGGGAATGGCTGGGTGGACACCAATGGTTGGCAGCAAAGGGGGATAAATCTGACATCCCTTGAACGTGACATGGGCTGGGAGCACAGTCCCAGGTGGCCTCTTAGGGGCAGTTCCTCTGGTACTGCTGGACCGTACGTGCCTGCCAGCCACAGCTGCCGGTCCTCCAGACACAATTGGGATTTTAGCAAGTCTGTACACAATAAAGCTGGGCTGTTACTAATTTTGTGCAAGCCTTGGATAGGTAGTGTGCCCCTCTATTGAGAGCTGGTGACTTGCAGCAAAGTTGTGGTGGCTCATCTCGTGCCACCCATACAGTGAAATGACCCCAAAAGCAAGCACGACTTTGAGGGTTCATGGACAAAGGGAGAGATCATGATCTGTCATCACACTCCAGCTCAGGCTGAAGCATAATTTAAACTTAGTAATTAGGTTTTCAAGCACAGCCATTAATTTGGGGTATCTTGAGACAAACTAGAAATCCCTTTTTATAATGCAGTTCCACTCAGTTACAAAGAAAGAGTCTGGAAAGGCACCACTTCACATTTTGTGTGCAGCTAATTGGGACAAACCATAAGGTGATCACCTTGTCCCACGGAGAGTTGGGGTTTGCAGAATGCAATCAACTGGTCAGCTTTCCAAACTCTGGGCAGAACTGACTAACACCTGGGTCAAAGTAAATCCACAGGCAAGAGGATTAGAGCTGGCGGAAAAATAAAGAACTCTGTGTCACAAGATAAAAGTAGATTGCAAAAAACTGCAATCCTGAAGAGTTTTTAATCTTAGAGGTGGCTAATGCTGCAGGTCTCCTTAGGTTTTTTTACATAAGGGGAGCCTGTGTTCCCAGGTTCTGTTTCGGGGTATTTCCAGTATCAGTCTCCACAGGGAGCAGTTAAGCTTCTATTTCAAACCTAATCCTGCAGGGGTCTATAAATCTATATATCTCTGTGCCCTCTTAAGCAGGTTTATGGCTGTCCCACCGGTTCACCAAAAAACTGTGTGGAAAAAAGAGCATACCCTAAACACTGGGTGTGAGCCTCTCTCTTTCCACACTCTGTTGATGAGTGTTTCAATAACCCATGTGAAGAACAGCTTCCATGAGACAATCCAAATGCCCTCCATTCCTCAGCCCAGAATAGCCTGTTGCCTGATGGTTATGACACGCTCCAGCAAGATGAAAGATAGGGATTCAAGGAGCACAAATAGGAAAAGAAAGCAAAAATGGGCCTTCTCCATACCTGGTAGCTGTTGCAGGGGGAGCAGGACAACAACCACCTCTTTGAAGAAAAGCAGTTACGTCCATTTTTTTTCTCCCTCAAGAAAGGACTCCAGGAGTTTATGCAGGATGGTGCCTGTTTGGGGCATGGTGTGAGATGCAGATGTCTCAGGGATGTTAAGGCTGCTGTGAATCCATTTTAGAGGCACCTCCATTATTCTCCATTCATGCTACTCAAGCTAGCTACTGTGAATTAGCCGAAAAGCAACTAAGTGCCTAAAGACTGTTACAGAGCTGGCCCTACCATTTTTATTCCATTACTGCTTTATTTCATACCATGTCTCTAACAGTGACCAACAGGAGATATTTTGGTGGAATATATCCTGCCTTCTTCCCCCTACCATGGTGATGGTCCATCAGCCTGCGATTCACTTTCTCCTTCTGTGAGCTCTCTCTGCTGTTGATCACGAGGTATTGCAGTGCTCGTGTCACCCAGCGCACTCACCAGTGGCCTTGTTTAAAAACCAGTAGAAAGTCATAATGATTAACGTTGTGGAGATTAAAGTCCCTTTTTAGATCATGGCCTGATAGGCAGCCGCTGTCACAGTGCCTGCTTTGCAAAGTCCACCGGTGTGCCAGAGGGGTGATGTGGAGCTGCTGTGGTTTGTGGCAGTGTTAGCCCTCTGAAACTTTCCGTGGTGAGTGGAAAGCATTGCAGGTACAGTGATGCATATCTATCTCAAATCATGTTTGGATTAAAAACTTCCTGCAGAGCTAATGTCAACTTAGTCTTCGGGTCACTGCCACAAGCTCAGTCAGGTTAGAGTTCTAAACCATTATGCAGGTACAGGGGAGGCTGGCAGCTATCAAACAGGATAATCTGCAGCATGATATTTTTTATGACTATACTCATAATGACACGTATAAGTAGCGAGTGGTTGTGATCTGGAACAAACTTGCTGGTTTGCCTGGTTCTGGTGAAAATTTCAGTGTCAACATGCTATGCAAAAATAACTGGTCGGATCCAGCTGAAGTCACTTGAGTTATGTGGGGACTTAATTGGCCGCATATGCCTGACATCTCAGTTAACATAAAAGCTACGAGTTACTCCTGAATTGTTTTCATTAGAAAATCCTAGTTAAAAAGGCACTTGCTAGAATAATTCTTTCTGCTATTATTTTTGAATGTCTATGATTTTGATAATATATAATATATATATAAATTATTAAACCAGCTATGATTTAATGTGGTTCATGCCACTGACTTTTTAATTAACTAAGGAGCCATCATTCTCAGCAAACTAATCCATTGCATAGGTGTGCATTTCACAATAATTGAATATAAAGGCTTATTTTTGTCCCTTTATTGATGTCAAGGGAAAACAATGCAGTTATGAAAATGGAATAAACTGAAAAGATTCCTTCAGTTCCTGCAGGCTGATTAGAACAAATGACTTTCCATTGCAGTTTTTATGAATGTATAGTTTTCTGAAAGGTTTATAGTACTTCAGGGAATGGAAATTGCAGGCAATAAATAATACAGGATCACTCAAGTTATTGGGGAGTAGAAGAACGGCTTTTATCTGGAAAGGTGAGATTTACTATTCTGTACTTCACACGAATGTTTTAGAAGGAACCAGATGCAGTGGTTTGTGCTTTATTTTGGGCATGGCAGCAGCAGCGTTGGGAGCAGCACGTGCCGGAGGCGGCACGGGGAGCGCTGCTGGGGCGCCCCTTCCCTGCGGGCAGCAGGCCAGGCGGGCAGTGCCAGGGCTTCACGCTGCCTGGCTGCTCTGCCTGCACTGAGGTGACCACGCACTCAGGGGGACTTTGCCTCTCCTGGTCAGTGAAGTCATCAGAAGTATTTTCCTAATTCAGCTTAATAAACAACACTGTTTCGTACGGAATGAGTTTGGCTAAGCATTTCTTGCAGAGAGCTCATCTGGAGAAGACTGTTTAGTAAACCCCTCTTTACTCTTTTTTCTTTTTCTGTGTAGAAAGCAGAAATATGGCAACAAAGGAAAAGCTTCAGTGCTTGAAAGATTTCCACAAGGACATCCTCAAACCTTCCCCTGGCAAGAGCCCGGGGACACGGCCTGAGGATGAGGCTGAGGGAAAGCCACCCCAGCGGGAGAAGTGGGCGAGCAAGATCGACTTCCTGCTGTCCGTGGCGGGGGGATTCATTGGTTTAGGCAACGTCTGGCGGTTCCCGTATCTCTGCTACAAAAACGGCGGAGGTGAGTCTTCATTCCACGCTCTGGAATCGCTCTGTCTGCCCTATGCTCGCTACTTTTCAGTGCTTTCATCCAGTTTTTAAGAAACCTGTTCATCCCTGTGTTTTCTGCCTCCCTCACCAGTCTTCAGGAGAGATTGTTTCGTCACTGAATAGTTTTTATTAAAATTTTATTAGGGGAAAAAAATCCAGAAATTTCAAATGTTGTGCTGTTGGGCCTTTCCTGCTCTTTTACTTCTGCTACAACTGAGTCTGAGTTTTAACTAAAAGATATGCTATTAATATAGACCATTAGGATTTCAGGGGATTTCAGAATAAGAGCAGTTTGAGCCTTGTCAAAGTATTGTGTGCCTAACAATCTGCCATTGTTATTGGAGATATTCATTTTAAAGAGGTAAGAAAATGCCCTTTCCAGCCTATACTCATCCTTTTAGCAGAAAAAATGAGTAAAAATACCCCAGAATAAGATTATTGCATAGTGATATTAAAGTATCAAATATCTTTGTTTATATTTGCCTGTTGTCACTTTTTTGATGATCTTGTGTAAGTTCTGTCATTTAATCTCATTATGTACTATTGTATTTTCTCAACAGGTGCATTTCTTATACCTTATTTCATTTTCCTGTTTGGGGGAGGTCTTCCCGTGTTTTTCCTGGAGGTGGTGCTAGGACAGTATACCTCCGAAGGTGGAATTACATGCTGGGAAAAGATCTGCCCTATTTTCACTGGTCAGTACATCTTGTTATGCTTTACTGCCTAAAGACCCCTCTGCAAACCATATGTAGCAGCACCATTCCCCTCATGTCCATTAACTCAGCTGTTTGCTCTAGTAATTAAGGGTATGATATTGGTTCCTGGAAAGGTAGAAGTCAGAGAGTCTGAAGGACAAAATGAGGTATTGATTTTGATGCTATCAGCTTGTTAACTGGCAAAACTGCCAATAACCAAGAAAGAAATTGCATATAATGCCTTTTAAGGCAATTGCACATTTTGTTTACAGGTATCAGAGAAAGTGTTGTCTTAAAAGGCTGGATGACATTAAGGAAACCATCTTTGAAATGTTATTTTGGTCTGGAAATCAAAATCTGTCTTCCATGTGAAAGTTTCTCATTGGCATCATCCATCTGCTACTGAAGCAGTCAAAACCTGGATAGCACTTTTTGGTGGGATTCAAGAACAGGGCTTTGGTCATAACTGAGCAGGTCCTGGTGAATGTTAGTCTGATATTATCAAATATTGCCTGCTCAATGCTCACAGGAACAGTGTGAAGGCTGCTCTGGAAGTTAAAGAGAAGGAAAAATTGAAGAGTTAGAAAAACAACAGAGAATGCCTGTCTTGTGTGTAGAATGCCCTTTACATCTGGACAGCACAGGCAGAATATTTTGAAATAACTACACTAAACATGTGGCCCTGTTCAAATCCCATTTGGAAAGAGTGGGAACTTCACACTGGCGTGTCTCTAGCTCTGCCACTGTTGCTGTTCCAGGCATCTCTCTCCCCTGATGTCACCCTAGGCAGAAGTGGGGGTTTTCTCTGAGGCTCACCCTCCCACCTAGTACTCAAAATGCTGCTGAGGATGATGTAATTGTGCTGCTTTAGCTTAATTTTCTTCCTCCTCCTCCCACTTTTGTGAAAACTTTTTTTTTTTTAAGAGGAGGAGGAGGAAGAAGGAATGTTCCTTGTTTAGATAGCAATCTCCTAGGCATCCATAAAAAGAAAGTGTAGCTAATGTGACTAGCTGTATATGCTGAAAGAAATGCAGATGTACAGAATAAATAGCACTTGATCTGCTTGTTTCCATCTGACATGAAAATAGTCTGTGGTGATAAAGACTGCTGCTGCAACAAGGTTTTAAACTGAAAAATATGAGACAGGTATCCCAAGTGCTGGGATATCCATCAGAGTGATATTAAAGGGAGCCTCACAGGTTCTTGTAAGAGACAGCTCTACATTTTTCAAGGAAGTATTTTTATTTTGCTTGTGATTCCTAACTGGCCGACTGTGTAAGCAGAGATTGATCCAGGTAACCATAAGATCCACAAATACTATTCTTCCTTTGCACAAGTGAAATTGAGGCAGAAACCACCACTTTCACACAGATTTCTTTTTAACTGATTCAAGAAAAGTCTTTTTTCCCCCACACAGACTGAGTCCAGCCAGTTGATAACTGATTGGTGCAGACACTGTCCAGCTGAGCTGCTGCCAGGAAAGCTGGCTTGGGGGACAGTGTGGCAAGAATGAGGTTGCCCACAAAGGTACCTAAGAAGTGAAATGGTGTGGTCAGAGAGAGAGAAAGCTTAATAAGTTTTCCCATGAATCAGTCTGGGAAGCTTTAGGAAGCTGGAGATAGAAAATGATAATCAAATAGTAACCAATCTGCAGGTGGTATTTATAACAAGTTGTTTTCTCATAAAGTTGTTGACCAGTGGGTGTCTTCTTAATTAGCCATTCATGTGAAATGTGATTAAATGATCAATCAGGTCCACCTGCAGCAGACCAGTGTCTAAAAGAAGAGGCCAGAATAAATGTGGGGCTTTTTGCCTCTAGCTTTCTGATCTGAGTCTGTGTCATTTGTTCCTGACTCAATGGTGACAATGGTGCAGCCAACAAGCAAAACCTGATGCCTTGACTTCCCTCTACTAAAACTTGAAATAGCTGGGTTAGTGTTAAATTGAGAAGATTCCTGCAGTCCTCCCCTCAGTGTCAGCAAACCATAGCCAGAAACTCAGCCCTGAGTGCCAGAGATGGTGGCAGGGCTGTGCTTATGTGTGGTTGAGCTGTTTCCATCAGCAGTAGGGCAGGGCAGGATACAAGCCCACAATACAGTGGGAATGGCACCAGCCCCAGGAGATCACAAGGTGCAGCAGCTGTCACATTTGTTTTTCTTTTCTCTCTCCTTCTTTCCAGGAATTGGTTATGCTTCCATAGTGATTGTGTCCCTTCTGAATGTGTACTACATTGTGATCCTGGCCTGGGGACTCTACTACCTGTTCCAGTCGTTCCAGAGCGTCCTGCCATGGGCACACTGCCACCAGAAGTGGAACACGCCGACCTGTGTGGAAGACACTCTCAGGAAGAACAAAACACTCTGGATATCACTGAATGCCACTAACTTCACCTCTCCTGTCACAGAATTTTGGGAGTAAGTACCCCCTCTTCTCGGTATCTTCTGACAACTTTCGGTGGCATGCCAGAGGTCAGTCCTGAGATTTTATGGAAGCCCAATGGGGAGCATTAGATAGGAAAAGAAAATTGATCTGGGTGTCAGTTTTTTGACCAGTGTTTGCTACTGGTTCTCACCTATCTTGAGACAGACTGGTAAGTCTGGGAGTCGTGGAGGCAGGTGATAGATGTGTAAGTGTATTTATCCTAGACTATACAGAGAGCTTTAAAAGCCCAGTACAGTTTCTTCTTTGGAAGAAAACTTATTTCCTTCTTGGCTGGATTCTCTTGAGCGTGGCAGGAGAACACAAACAAGTCACTGCAGATGCCCTGATAGCAGGGATTTACAGTGAAAACAGTGACAAATCATCACCTTTTTGGTTATCTCTTCCCCAGCTGTTAGCATTTGAAGTACACTTTGTGAAGCTATAGCACATCTCTCTTCAGGCTGACGACAATGTAAGGTTTTGACCTCAGTAATAAATCTGACAGAGGTGGTGAATGTTGTCCTGTGTTCCAGGTTTCTCAGGTCACCTCTGTTACAACTTTTTTTTTTGCAGTCTCTGAGGAGACTGTTTTGCCAGATGCCTGAATTTCATCAGTCATAAGCTTCTTATTCTCATTTCTCTGTTATTTTTCAAGTTTTAAATCATATTGCATAACGTGATCTCTGAACAGGCATGACCTCAAAACTCTGTGTGTTTATATAAGTGTCAAAACATAGCAGCAGAGGAAGACACCTGTAGGGAAACTTAAATCCAAAGTATCTTCAAATAGTTCATTAATAATTTTTTTGCTTGCTTGCTCAGATAGTCACTTACAGATAGAATCAGTTTCTGGCCCAGCTTAGCTTTTTCAGCATGTTTAAAGTGCAGTTTCATCTCTGGTCAACTTGTACCCACTTCTCTATTTTTAAAAATAAGCATCAGCCAAAGCCCCAGCAGGAATCATGTTCATGCTGAAGATGTTTGGCATGCATGAGGTTTAGGAAAAAATAGTCTTAGGAGCTGTGCTAAAATTTGTAACATGAGAGCCAAAATATAAAGGGGCAGATTGAATCTGGGATTGGTAGTTTGTCAAAAGGCTCTGGTGGCTGGTGTGAGAGACAGGGTGCAGGCTCTGAGAGCAGCATTTTCACCATGAGCTCTGTGTTTCCATGTTGAGGGGCAGCTGCTTTCCCAGGTGATTTCCTCCCTTGTAAATATGGAGGAAGTTGGAAAACGATTGTTAAGTGGTACCTTGGGATATTTTGTGGGAACTGAGAGGCAAGTTGCAGTAGGAGGGGAAGCAGCTCTCATTCCTTTGGACATGAAGCCACAATGGCTTCGGTCTGAAAGCCTTGAATCCAAATGAGTGGCTGGTTTGGTCATTTGTTCCAAGGTCCCCCAAGGAAGCAGATGTCCACAGTGCTGCCCCTGAAATAGTTGCTCCTCCAGACTTCCAAAGTCTCCCACTGTGTTCATCATTGCTTCTGTGCAGTGATTTTGCAGACAGTCCCCTTGTACCTTGGGCACCTGTGAGCTCCTGATGTGGCCGTGGAATTGTCCTGCTGCTCTGGAAGCTCCTGCTCCTTGTACTGCACAGATCTGTGGGCCAGATTGTCTCCCTGGGGTCCCCAGGCAGCATGTTCACTTCAGGTGACTGAAGATACCACAACAGAAAGAAAAGGACTAGGAGCTGGGAAAGGGATTGTAAAAGAGTGAGAGTTCCAGCACACTGGGGAGCAGCAGAGCTCTTGTGGTCACAGCACAGCAGGTGTTTGATAAAGGGTGTTGTGGCAGTGCAGCCCAGGGTAAGGGGAATGATGTCCCCATGGGAACATGTTAGTGATGGAGCTTTTAGTTAACTTCCCTCCAAGGGAAACCAAGTCAGAAGATTCCTCTGCAAGCTGAGCCAAATCCTCCTGTAGATGTAGTCAGGCTGGAGGAGCCTGAGCTGGACAGCAAATCCTTGATCCTCACAACACTTTGCTGTCCTCTGTTGTGCCCTCTTTGTGTCTGTAGCAGAGTTGGAGCAAAGGTTGCTCAGTGATCAGTGCTTCTGGAGTAGCTCTCCCTGCAGTTTGCAGCCACTTTAACTTGTGTCCTCAACAGTTTTAGACACTGTAAGCTGAACTCTTCCCCAGAGTCTTGCTAGGGAGGAGTTTGGCTTTGTAATCCTACTAGGACAGATACACTGCCCATAATTCACTGTTTCATCATGGGCAAAACTGCCCTTAACCGAGCAAGCTGCCTCCAGGAGTCATGACACTTAGAGGACTATTAAAAATAGCTGCTGTCTTTGCATAAATAACTATTGATGCCTTAAAGGAAGAGCAGAGATCATGCAGCACTGTTGTAATAAAAGTAGCATAGCTTTCACATGGCGCAAGCACTGAATATCCCCATTTTTTCCCCCAGACATGCTAGTATTCTTTATAATTCTGAAATTAAAAATAGTTTGAAGAACTTTCAGGTATCATGCTGCCATAGACAATACTGGCTGCCAGCCAGCCAGCTACCAACATGGAAAGGACAGGTAAATAATTAGTCTTTAACTGAAGATATCCATCTGCTTTGTGGCACAATTCATTCCAGTTTAATTCAGAGGTTTGTGAGTATTTGGTTTCTGAAACCAAATGCCATTTTTATTGTGGGACATTTATAGTGTCCTCATCAGTACTGCTTTGTAAAACTAGTGCTGCCCAGGTATAATTGACCACATAGATGCATTAACCTCTTCACACTGAACTTCTCAGTCTGGCTGGATATATAGTGCAGCCTGACATTTCAGCTAATTTGAATTAATGTTTGGTACAAATCACATGCTTGCTTGAGCAGCAATAAAAGGGGGTTAAGAAAATCAGGCTTTTTATCAGGAGATTTACCTCTTGGTATCACATGCTTCAGGTCTTATTTCTGAAGACTTTATTTTGAAGTTCAAAACCTTAAAGTCTTACACACATATTAATACATAAGGGATAAGTGTAATAGGGTAATTAGGGTTGAACAAAACCTCTGATTGTCTGGTGCTGGCCAAGTGTTTATAAATATTTGGTAATCAGCAGACTTTATTTGTCCAAATCCCAAGAAAGACCATCACATGCTAACGGCATGTAATCCTAAAGGGAGCAACACAAAAAACTAAACAAAATCCAGAGCAGCTGTCTCTGCCTTTAAGAGCAAATGTGAGAGTTTTTAAAATAATTTCATATTCTCCTTTTAATATTCTTCTGTACAATCTCTTCAGTGTTAATTATTCTTGTCCATCCAACATGAAGGGGTGCTTCACCTTTCCTGGTTTGAAAGGTCTTGTCTGCATTCACTTGATTAATGAGCTGGAATATCCCCCAAGGATTGCATAACTCTCTTCATTTTATTTCTGTTTATGTTGTAGAGCCAGTTACAGCTCCTGTTACATTTCCATATTGCACACACTAGAACATATTAGTGTTCAAGGGTCAAGAACTCCTGTTTATAACAAACTCAGCTCCAGCCTGTTGTCCCATTGATTATGTATGACTGACAGTTAATGACAGCATCCGACTATAAATCTGAATGACTAACAACTCTGTGTGTGTGGTGTGAAGGCAGCTGAGTGGGCTTGGCTGAATCTCTCTAGCATGGGAGTTATGTAACAAAATTGAAGAGTAATTAGCACAGCCCAGATCATGCTCCTTCCTGAACTTGAATTTACAGGGTCAAAAATCCAGGTTGAGTGCTTCTGCAAAAATATGCAGGGATAGAAGTCATAAAACAATTGTAATGCTGAAGCTCCCCTAGTGATTCTGAGCATATTCCTTGAGGAAGTCAGTCTTTGTGAGATGGGATAAGCAAGAAAAGCATAGAAAAGCAAGTTATCTGTCTCTCAGTCACCCACTGGGGTATCTTCCAAAAAATCTTGGAAGAATTGCTGGGGCAAACTCTAGGAGAGATGGACACTTGCTTTTAGTTCCACAGTAAAAAGCAAAGAAGTCTTAGCTGAATGCATTAATAAAGCTTCCTATTCCAGAAGGCATTTGCAGTTAATTATTCACTGTTTCCCAAGAGCCAGCTCTATAGATTGCCTTTTTAATATGAACTGCCCCTTTGATTGGAAAGTTGCCATTTATTTTTAAAAAAGGCATAGAAAGTTGTGGCTAAACTTTTTCATCTTATAAATGTATTTTCTGCTTTTGTATAGGCACAGCAGGTTTTTCCTTTGTTTCTTTAGGCTCAGGTGAAGCAAGACTGCAACTTTATGCCAAATATTCATTACTGAGGGGGTTCTCATAAGTATTGAATAGCTGTGCTGATTAGGGCAGACTTACCCTGTCTGGTGCCATTAGTCCTTTTTCATAACAAAATACACACACGTTCAGAGAGAAGAAAGCATTTGGTGTGAGAACACAGTCACACAGGTAATCCAAGTGAGTTTGGCAAACAGAGACACAAAAACAGATGGGCAAGGGTTTGAGTCCTATTAAACTGGTCAATCCAGGGCTTTTTCCAAAAACTAATTGCAGATTTTCCATCAGTGACTTCATTCACTATTATTTCCATGGTAATAACAAAAAAAAAAAAAAAAAAAATCATTAGTTCAGGGGAAAACCCAACCACCATGGTCTGTCTTGTACTGGATCCCCACACAAAGCTGTGCATGCCACACACATGGGCCTGACTCAGACTGCTCTGGGCTCTACTCTCTGTGACCTGAAAGTAAATTTTAACTAATAATTAATAAAAAAATTGTTAGGTAGCAAGTTCACTCCTGTAGTCCTGGGGCAAGCTGTTTCTGTGGTAATTGAGGTCAAAAATTTTCTTTGACTAAAAAAACCTTACAGAATTTACTAGGTTCATTTGCAGAGTTTTAGCTCAGTGAACAGTAAGAAGCAGTTTGTTCTTTTACATATTTGACAAATGACGTGTTGAGTGTGACAAGGCCTGTGCAGTGTGTGAAGACAGTGTATGTTTCATGAAATGATTTGAAAAATAGTTTAAATTAAGTATTTAATGGTAAGCCATGGAAATTTTGAAAAGAGAGAAGCCTTAATGAATATTTCCCCTCTGGATCAGACTCTTTTAATGGTCAGATGTTGCTCCCTTAAAGCACAGCTGAGGAATTACTTTTTATTTATTAACCTAAGTGAGGGAATAAGAATTCCCAAATAATCTGGTGCTGGCTCAATGAGACCCCGGTGTTGGGGTGCTGAGGGCAGGTGGCAGCACCTGGGCAGTGTTTGTTTGGGGGGCCCCAAGGGAAGAAGAGATAATGGCTCCACTCTTCACCCTGCAAAGCTGAATGGCCTGACACTCCCCTGCACTGCTTTTTGCCTTTCCTCCTCGTGGCAGCCTTGCTAATGAGCTGAAAAGGAGCAGAAACATGTGGACCCAGGTCAGCTGCAAGTGTCCATGATGGAGATGTGGTGTGTACTACTTCCAGGCAGCTTCACTGGGGCAAGCTGGTCTTCCATCTTCAAGAAAGCAAATACTCTTTTATCTCATATTGGGGTGGTCATAGGCTCCTAAAAAAAGCTTACATTTTTTAAATATTGTGCACTATATTGATTTAAGGAGTCCTACAGACATAGGGGAGGTGTAGGGTTGCAAAGCACAGCTTTTATCACATAAGCCACTGACTTAGCACATTTTGAGAGCAGAGATCTGTGTGTGCATCAGCTGCCCTGCACACCATCGTGTCTTCTTAGCCATCAGAACCAGAGTCTGCATCAACTGAGCTCCTGCATCTCTCTCTTCTTTTGTTTCCTTTCAAACACTCAGGCGCAATGTGCTGAGCTTGTCCTCGGGCATTGAAGATATTGGTATTATCAAGTGGGATCTAGCACTGTGTCTCCTCCTCGTCTGGGTGATATGTTTCTTCTGCATTTGGAAAGGAGTCAAATCCACTGGGAAGGTAAGTGCTCTTTTATCCATGCTAAAATCATTGCAGTTAGAGATATTGGGAATACTAAGTAATGCTGTTCTGGAAGATATTCACCATTTCCTGGAAAAACTGTATTTTTCCATGAGTAAGAGAATTCAACTGGCTTTTGAGGGTCATTACCAATGTCCAAAATGCCTGTGAGTCAAGTAGCCACTACTGGAAGGGCATCAAGAAGCAGATACAAGCACAGATTGAGCCCCACTTCAGCTCTCAGAGGACAAACATCCCACTGATGTCATGAGTGTGGAAGGTCTCAGCCTTGTGGTGGGTGGGCTCTGCACTGTGTCTGTGTTCTCACTCCAGTCAAGTTCATCCCAGTGCAGCAGGATGGATGCTAACAGAGCTGTGGTGGGGGCGTTGTGGATGCACAGCGTTTTTGAAATGCCACTCACTTACGGAAGAGCTCTGTGGAGACACACAAGGCTAAACTTAGGTACTTGTTCAGGAGCATTGTCACTAACAAAGATCCTACACAGCTTGTGGGTTTGGTCCCATCACATGCTCTTCAGAGTCACGTTTCCCTGTAAAGGATAACAGTTGCCTCACTCCTGAACATCCTGCTCCATTGCACATCTTGGTCAGCCACTTGGTGTGAAGCATAATACTATTCCCCCTTGCATTCAGTAGTGTTTTTATACCTATTTTTGTAAGCTTTTGAAGCCATTGTGCTTGTGTAATTCTTAGCTTTCAAAATTGTTCCTTGAGGCAGTGTTCAGATAAGTCTGACTGAGGAGGAGGGAGCTCAAGGTACTGAGTTCCCCACATTTCTTTTCAACTATGTGGAAGTGCTCCCATTAGTGCCCCTCCTAAGAAAGGCCACAGTATGAACTCATCTTTTATAAGTGCCCAGAGAAGTCAGGGGAAGAAATTCCAAGTGCCTCAGCTGCAGAGAGAGCATAATTTAGCAGGTTTAGCTTGTTGCACACTGCAGAATCAACCAGGAGACAAAACTTTGTAGGAAGCCAGGCCTCATGAGTTCCACTGTTGACTAAACCACTTGCTTTACTGCACTTTCTACCTTGCTTTCTGTGATTTTTATCAATGGGCCTCATTAAAAAGCTGGTGCCTTGATCTGGATTCCCTCCACCTTTCCCCTGAAAAGCAGCTTCCACACCTGTAAAACACACACTGACAAAAATACTTGTTTCTTTATTCCCTCTGACTGATGTGACTCAGTGAGGAGTTTGTACAAGTTTTATATTAAAGGTGGGTGCAGGAAATCTCCTGCAGCAGCAGGGTGGAAGTGAACATTTCTGCAGCACCTTTGACAGCCCAGGTGTCTGCTCAGAAAAGGCTCTGGTAACAGAGAAAAGCATTCCAAGCTCCCTGTGGTATTCCCCATGAAGATAAAAGGTTGCAAACAGGTCTATTAAAATCAGATATCTAAAAATCTGTGTTCTCTGCAAATCCTGCAAAATTTTCTCATGTCTAAAGCAGGGTGGTTGGTAGGAATTCACTCACTGCTCTCTGCAGCATCAGAGCTCGTGTGGGTGTGCAAAGACCACCAAAACCATTGGAAAGTCTCAGGTTGACTCCATTAACTTTGGGGTCAAAGAAAAGTAAACTGTAAACTCTAATGGAGGACTTGAATTATTTGAAAAGTTGAGTTTACTTTAGTAGAGGGTTGTTTATAGCACTTCCCTGCTTTCCAGTGTGTTAATGGCTCTTTGGAGAGCAGGGTGGGGGTGGGGGAAAGATGTAGTTTTAAAATCTCTTAGTTAAAGCTTTGACAAATATGAAATCGTGATGAAAAATATTAGTAATGCTTAAGCTTTAGATAATGTGCTTGATCTTAAGAATTCCTGCAGCATTGTGAGAGAATCTCTACCTGCAGTACAAAGACCTCTCTGTGGGTTTTTGTTTATTCAGCTCCTGCAAATATGTCAAAGTTTGGGGTTTTTTTTCTGTTGTTGGTAAGAAAACTTTGATTTTTTTCATAGTCCCGGCTTATTTTAAAAAAATAAGAAGATGCAGAAATCTTCCTTTTATCCTGGTTTTGGTGAAACTAGGCTGATGTGTAATACATGTTATTTGTGGAAAATATACAAAAAACTCAAAGAGATAATTAAAAAGGGCATGTATGAAAAAATTTCCTTTCATTCAATGAAATCAACCCTGCTTTGTGAATTATTTTATGGCAATGCAGGCTTTGAGTTCTCATTACTCTCAGAGGACACACTTATGAAGAAAAATGGAGCATCCTGGGAGCTTTGCAGTAGTTAAGCAAATTCTGGAAAACAAAAATACATTTTAATCATGGCAGCAAACTGTAATTACCTGGGGGAATCATCTGACTCCAAGAAAAATGCCCTTTCTTGGACAGTAGTGACTGTAGCACAGCAGTTATATAAAAAAATGAAGGAAAGCAGTGATGAGCAAAGAAAGCAAAATGTTAGAGGTCAAAAAGTGTGGGTCTAAAGATAGAACTGTCCAAATGCAAGCTCAATTAACCCTCGTGCTTGAGATGAAAGCAAAGGGCTCTTTCATCAAATGAATGAGGAGATAACAAGAAGAGAAGAAGTAGGCTGTTATTCAAAGAGAGTGGGAATAGAGGTTAAAGATAATGAAGACATATTTTCAAACTGGATGAATAGAGCCTTAGTTTCCAGTAATGATGTTGCTGAATAGGCAGCAAGGGCAAGAATGAAGTTATAGGACTGGAAATTACCACCGTGGTGGCTGATGCCAACCTGAAGGGCTTGATGTGTTCAAGGGGATAGGAAGGGAGACACAGGAGCACGGACAAAATTACCTTCACCTCTGAACACAGTTCTTGGGGAGGTGACTGGAGGAGCAGCAGTGGGGCTGCACAGCAAGGTCAGAGGTAGCAGCAGAACTTGCAAAATTTGGAAGTTTTAAAGTTCCAATAAAAAATGAGGTAATAATGTTTCAGGGACCCTCAGTGAGTAAATCTTTTCACTTCCCTGGCAGAGGTGCACTTGTCATGCAAAGGCAGAATTTGAACAAAAGTCATGAATTGTATAAAATCACGTCTGAGTGATATGACCATTGACTGGGCCCCTTGGAGGGATTCATGCATTGCCTTCAGGCCTAAGGCAATAAGGTGTTAAAGACCATTAAACTAAAGATAGACACAGAAACCCAGGTCAGACCCTTTTAAGGTATGAGCGGGCTTTGAATTCCCGTTGTTAGAACTCTCTTGGTTCTGGAGCTTTGGCTGCCACAGACTAAACAGGGCCTTTTTTTCTTATTTCCAGGTAGTGTACATCACTGCCACATTCCCATTCATCATGCTCCTCGTTCTGCTCATCCGTGGTGTGACCCTGCCTGGAGCTGCAGAAGGCATCAAGTTTTATCTTTACCCTGATATCTCACGGTTAGCTGACCCACAGGTACAGAACCAGGAGTGGGGAGCGGGATGATTTCCTGTGTGAAGGGGGATGGTGGAGGGTGATGGTGCTGATGTAATGTCAATCAGGTTTTTTTTCCACAGTCTTTAGAGGTCCAAATATAGCATGAACTTTAATGCTGGGTTATATTTTCCAGAGCTCTGCTTGAGAAGGTCACTGTTAAATGTGTTAATGCATCTTTCCATGTGTATGTTTGTGTGTGTATGCGTGTGTATTTTTTTTGTGTCAAAGGACTCTGAGGCTGTAGACTCTGTCCTGTTATACAATCTCAGCTTTCTTGTTGGTAAGGTAAGGGAGATGCATTTTTTTTAATGAGGATAGTCTTTAGTTTCAAAGGAAAGACACGTGAGCTTCACAGATGGAGCAGCAAGCAACAACTGTGAGTACCAGTGTCACTTATCTCCCACTGCTCAATAGGAGGAGATTGGGAGAGAAGTGAATGAAATTACAGGAGAATGAAAAGCCATGCAAAGGTGGAGAAAATGCTTTCTGAGGCACAGGAACTACTGTTTAATTAGCCCTGGCTAGTGGGAGCCAGGCTTACTCTTTCTGTATAGATAGAAATTCTGTCTGTGCTCAGAGATTGCAAGTATGGGACTTGAGCAAATTCAGCATTGTTTCAGTCAACAGTGTTCATGTGAGAAATTAAAAAGAAATACAATACTCCCCTAAAAAAGAAAAGAAAGCAAGGGATCTTTGAAAATAATAAAATGTTTGTCGCAGTGATAGGAAATAACATCTGTCTTCGCTATTTCTTTCTAACGAGCATTAGGTTAAAATAAAACTCCAATGGTCACTAAAGGACTGAAGTAGAAAAAGGGTAATTGAAAGAAATATCATGAAAATTTGGTTCATTTTCTAGTCTTGTCCTCTTTTATAAGATACCCTTTTCACAGGAGACATTATATTTTATGATTTAATCTTCTTTTATGGGACCCTATCATTTTTATGATCTACTGTTAGCCCTAACCAGAATGTCAGCAGATAATGTAGGAGAGGTTCATGTGAGCTGGCTGGCTCCCACCCACAGTCTAGCAAAAGCATCACTCTGAGGAGACCATAGTTTCCTCAGTCTTTCCAGCAAGGTGCTAGGAAGTGATAGTGGGAGGGAGGAGGTAATGGTCCTCAGTCTACATTCTCACTTACTCAACCTCCTTGGTGGTTTCCACTGGTGTTAGCAGTCTTCAATTTGCAGAAAGAAGAGAGCAGATGGGATTCAGAGGGCGTGTTTTGATAGTTTGCTATGTATTTACTAGCCAAGAAGTTCATAGTGTACGGTTATTTCACTCTGTGTGTGGTTTTTTTTAAAGTAATTAGGACAAAGAATCATGAGACCAAGATCAGATATGTATCTTATAAAGTGCATTGTATTTTGCTTGTTTTCCCCCCACCCCTGTGGCTTCTTATCTTGCATTTGAACAGGTACAAAAACAACCAGAAAGCTAGAAAAATAAACAGAACAAATACACAAACCTGTTTCTCAAGCTTTTCACATCTTCAGTTTAAGGAATCCGTCGTCTGACTCTAACTGAAATGAGTTACAAGAAAAATGAGCAATGTTATAAATACTTCTGCATTTCCTATTGCACTGAAACACGTTTATTGCTGCGCCAGCAGGAAAGATCAGCTGAATGACTAAGAAACTAGAAATACTGAGCATCTCTGGGGAGGGGAAACAGGAACTATTGTAGAGATCATGTTCTTCTGGGTTCTGATGCTAACAGTTCTCTTTTCCTTGTGAAAGCCAAACTTGAAATGTGTTGTTCTCTTTCCCTTTCTCCCTGATCCTTTAGCTTTCACTCTCAATGGAAACAATTACTTTGTTGATTTTGCTTAGTTTGAACTGTGTGTTTGTGTTGATTATTGAAATGCAACAATGCTGGTAGTAACAGTATTTCTATCTTTTCCTTTAGGTCTGGATAGATGCAGGGACACAAATCTTCTTCTCATATGCAATCTGCTTAGGAGCAATGACTTCCCTGGGGAGCTACAACAAGTACAAATACAACTGCTATAGGCAAGTTTCCATCCAAGGGGGTTTAGTGTTTTAGCTAAATGATGTAAATAAAGTAGGGACAATGGGTTAATTTTTTTTTTTAATTAACTTGCTCCATGACATATGTGTGACTTAGGGACTGTTTGCTGCTGGGATGCCTGAACAGTGGTACCAGTTTTGTGTCTGGCTTCGCAATTTTTTCCGTCCTGGGCTTCATGGCACAAGAGCAAGGGGTGAACATTGCTGATGTGGCAGAGTCAGGTACGATGGTGTTGGTGGCAGTGGTGGTGGGCACTGCCGCCCAGCGTGTGAGCAAAGTTCTGCAGACTCAATCAGCTAACATCTTAGTGATAAAACAGAACAAGATTTCCCATAATTGCCAGAAAATATAAGCACGTTGTTGATTTGGGCTTTAATCTAGAGTAGTGAGGGTTAGCTGGGGTTGTACTGTTTGATTAACAGGGCAGCAAACATATTTCCTAGAGAATGCTAATCCATTTGAATTGAAATTAGAGCTAAGATAACTGCATCATTATCCAGGGTCCAGAATGTCATTGATTCAAGAATTTATTCCATCTTTCTTTTCAGACTACCTTTATTTTCATTCAAATGCAAATTGCCAGTGTTTATGTATTTTTATAGCTTAGTGTTGCTTGCTCAGAGCACTAGAATAGGATTAGTACCTTGGCCTTTTGAAGGGATGCACACACATACATTCCCAAGTTTCACTGAAAGGCAAGAGAAGTTGGAGAACTCCATCTCCAGGGTTTTGTGGACCATTTCACCCACAGGAACTCTAGGTGTTGCAATCCTGCACTTGTTCTCTGTAGCGTCAGTGTGAGGTTGACAGAGCTGTCAAAGTCCATTTTGAAACCTGATGTACACTTAGATTCCTCCCTTATTTCGGATGTGTCCTTCCCATTAACATTCACTTATGCACATGCAGAGGTAGAAGTTCAATCCTCATAGCTTGTGACTGTATCTCAAGTGAAACAGATGACATTTTTCCTCTGTGCATTTCTAATCCATGAGGGCAGGTGTAACCATGTGTTTCAACATAGAACAGACAGATTAGTTGGGAATTACCATGGAAAAATAATGAATCAGGCCTTGACAGCCATGAGGTTTAAAGCAAGTCAGATTCTAGTAATAGCAATGTCACCTGAGTGCACTTTTGATATTTCTTTCTGATTTTTTGAGCACTTTTAATTCACCTGCTTGGAATTGGAAAGCTTTCCTCTGCAAACATGCTGTTAAAATGAAAAAGTCAATGTATCTTCTAATCACGTGGCTCTGGGAGTTAAGTCTTTAAGAAAAATGTCTCACTTCACAAGGGCTAATGAAAAACTAATGACATTGATGGCATCGCTGGAATCTTGGGTGGCTGCAATTGGCATAGCCCTTGCAAGTGCAATTAGTAACAATCTTGGCCATAATGCTTATTTTGATTGGAGGTTGATTGCTTTGTTTGGAAACAGGAAGCAAAAGAATAATCCTATTGAATGAATCATAAATAACCCTATTTTTTTATTTATACATAGGTGGATCAATTCCAAGAGTAGTATTTTTGAGTATTTGTACATTAGGTTTTTATCTGGTCAATATTTATTCTAATTTTTATTATATCTCTGATAGAGGCAGCTACATTCCTGTCACCTGACATTTCCAGAATTAAACAATTCTATAGTAACACTGGATTGTTAAGTAATCTTTAAACACAAATTTACTACTTAGTGTTTAAATACTAAGTGTTTAAATACTTTTCCCAACATCTCAAAAAGCATTTTTTTAAAGGAGAGTTTAATAGCTCATTATAGGGACAGCAAGGGCACAGTCTAGCATCTGAACTTGGCTTTTGATTTCTTTTGCATATTTTTTGTCTACTGTTTTTTTATATCCATGTCACTTACGGCCAGAGATTGCAACTGGCTCACCATGCAGTGGGTGCCTATCACTGCTGGTCTTTGGCTAAGTCCTAGGGGACATTTTTACCTGACAGTAAACACTACTGAAATTATCCAAAAGTATCCAAACCACTTCCTATGTGCTTTCTTGCTGCTTTTCTCAGAGAGATAAGTGCAGAGCCACTGAAAACATTTGGTCCCACCAGTATGAGTGTCCCAGGACCTGCATGGGGCTCTGAGAGAAGTTTTCCTTGCTTTTTTGTAGCAGAGGAGGATTTAGCAGGTGCTTGAACCTCTGTTTTCTGGCCTTGCCCTTTTTGGTTTTTTTTTGATGCAAGGTCAGAACTGCTCCCCTGGGTCAGGAAAAAGCAAGCAGAGGTGCTGCCCCTTGGCTGCAGCACTTGGCAACAGATGTTGTCCACGGGGCTGAGACCCCATCTCTTCCCAGCGAGTTAAATTCCTCCTGCCCTATCCATGACACCATTTGTTTGCCCTCCTGAAAGCCACGGGAACATCAACAAATTTGCTTACAGCAGAATCTCATGGCCACATTTTTTCCCAGTGCCAGATTCAGTGTTGGTGCCATGTGCCTGGGACACACTTGTCAGCTGGGGCTGGCTCCTGCTGAAAGCACTGCTCGCTGCTGGCCTTCACTGGCTTTAGCAGGTTTACTCAACAGTTAACTCAGACTTCTGACTCCTGAATGAAAGCAGATTTTAAACAAAACAACTTTTTTTTTCTTTTCAGAAATTCTTTTAAAGATGCAGAGGAAAGCAGTGGGGGCTCAACAAAACCATACTGAGTCCTGTCTAATCCATGTGGCCTCTGGCTGGAAAAAATACTTTTACCACCCATGCAATTTGTAGCACTGTTACACCAGCACAAGATTTGCCTTTTTTTTTTTTTTTTTTAATTCCATTTGCAAACAAATTCAGATTAAGCTTGTCTGACAATAATGCCTTGGGTTTCCTGGTGCCTGCCTGGTCTCTGCCTCTGCAGCTCTCCAGCCATGCCACAACACCCCATGGCAAATGGCCAGTGTGTGGGCTGGGATCATAGCAGTGCTCCCTGGTTTTTAATAGCAGCCACAAGTACTTCACTTTTGCAAAACACTCTTCAAAACAACAGGGTTTCAAATTAAATACAAATTTTAGATTATTTATGTTTCGGTTGAAGGCTTGCCAGGAACATTTTCTTTCACATGGACTTTTTATATTTCAACACTTAGTTTCAAAGGAAAATCAAAATTAGCTCAAGGCTTAGAGCACTTGGTATTGGTTGGTATCACAGTGCAAGAACAGTTTGACTGGCCAAAGCATACAAATTGCAGCAAAATTGAGGAGAGCAGTTTTACATCTGTCTCATCAATTGCACAGATCAGCTGCAAATGCCATCTTTAGCAGCTCTCCCTCAGAAAGAAGTTACTGTATCCACTGAATTAAGGGGGGAAAAAAGCAAAGCTCCCCAAAATTTGAGACATTGACCAATTTTTTGGTATCTTCTGTCGTATAAAATCTTAGTTGTGTTTCATTAAAATAAAATTAGTTGTTTGATTGTTGGCTAATTTGTATTTATTTATGTTCAAATATTTTCAGTGACTGAAAGTTTTCTTTAGTTTGAAAAAAGTCATCTCATTTTACCTGTTTCTCTTGCTTCTTTTTCCATCTCTCTTGTTGGAAAGGAAAAGTGGGAGGTAGGAAGAGCAGTGTTAGAGATTTTTCTGTACACATCAGAGATAAGATTTTTTTTTTTGGCCCCACACTGCAACATCTTTTAAAAAATCATTTTCCCATTGAAAATTACATGAATCCACTTGAAAACTGGCACTTTGAAGGCTCCTCAAAGTAAACAAGTAGATGAGCCAGGCATTCCTGGTTTCACTCTGAACTGTAATCTGCCCTCAGAATTTTTTGTCATCCTCACCAAATTTCTTCATCTCCTCTGAGAGCCTGCCATAAATGCAGAGTTGCCAGTGTTCCTGTCTCCCACTGGTGGAGGGCTCTTCCTCTCTCCACAACAGCTCTCACAAAGGACAGATCTGGCTCCAGGTGAAGGTGCCTCTGGAGATGAGCACTGTGCCTTTGCTCCATGTGTGGGTACGAGTGAGGTGACACCTGGTCACAGGGCAGGCCAGACCCCACCTAGGGAGGAGTATTCCACACTTTGGGTTCCAGAGCAGAGAACCTGGGCACTCAGCCCCAGGCAGTCAGCCACAGCCCCACTGGTCCTCCTACACTTGCAGCCCAGCCTGCAGTTGGGGCTGATGATGGTCATGCTCAGTGTCCCCATGGCATGTCCATGTAGGCTGGCCTGGGTAGGGGCAGATGGTGTAACAGCATGGGGAAGCAACTTTACACAGAGTGATTTTACACCCCAGCAGTTCCTAACAGCAGTTTTCTCAATTTTCAGTTGATAAAGTTAAGAGTAGCCTGATCACTCAGCGCAGCAGGGAGGGTTTGCAGAAGAGAAGGAGCAAACTCCTTGGAGTGCAAACCCCAGTTTGGAAAAGCCATGCAGGGTTTGGAGGTTGCATACAGAGAGGCAGTGGTTGCACTAGTGGAATGCCCCAGGGAATGTTTATAGCAGAGTCCCCTTCCCTGCATGCAAAAGAGTTTCATCATCATCATCTTCATCATGACCATGTGGGCTAGCAGTGGGATTCTGCCATTCCCTTGGGTCACCCCTTGTCCCCAGCCCCCAAGACTGTCCTGTGTCCGTGCAGGGCAAGTGTAGGACACCTCCATTATTGGCATGTTTGAGACATGTTAAAACTGGAGATCTGTTAGCACTGGCCTTGGGGGTTTGCCTGTGGTTTCTGCTGTAGTCATGCGTGCTTCGATTTCAGATAAAAGAGCCAAACTGTTTCATTTCTGGTATTTCCAGCTGCGTTTGGATTTATCTGAACGGAACCAGGCATTCCTGAGTTTGAGGGTGGCTACCTTTACCAAAGAGCTGGTACTTACTACTTTTCCTCCCTTCCCTTCCCCCCTCCCTATTTTCTCTTTCTCTAGGTCCAGGCCTGGCCTTCATTGCCTACCCAAAAGCTGTGTCCATGATGCCACTGCCCACCTTTTGGGCAATCCTTTTTTTTATTATGCTTCTGTTGCTTGGACTGGATAGCCAGGTTAGTACAATTAAGGGATGTGTGACTTCTTGTGTCAGGCCTGCTCACTGAGAAAAGCTGGTTTTACAGGCATGAATTAACATGAGAATACCTCTAAATGCTGCTTGCAAGGAATTCGTCTAAGTTGGTTTTTCATGTAGGGGCTGCACTTGATGAATCTGCAACTGTTGATTCATAATATGGTGTTGCTCAGCAGGTCCTTGTCATCAAGAGTTAGTGGGATCTATCCCACTAGGGCAGTACTCCCTAACCTAACTCCTAGTCTGCCCACAAAATACCACCATTTTGGTCACAGTATTCTCTTACTTTGGAAATAAAGCTTAATCTTTTAAAACATAAGGGACTGCAGTAGTCTGTTCCACAGAGTCCTTTGTGCCATTTTGAACACCTGCAGGGTGTATACACCATCATTAAAAAGCTAACAATTAATAACTACTTGGAGTATGGGTTTTGACAGTTGCCAAGTGCCAAAAAAGAAAAGCAAAGTCAGCATGAGGTACAAAAAAGCACATAATGTTTTGTACAGTGTATCCAGGGTGGCTTCAAGAACAGCGAGAGGACAAAGCTGCAGCCTTTTTTGGTGGCCTTGGGCTTGGAGGTGCTGAGCAGTGTGGGATCCTGCTGACTTTTCACGTCAGCAGCATGCATTCAGTACCTCCAAACAGGCCAGAAAGCATCTCAGATTCCAGCTGGACTAATTTTATAGCACGCACTGCTATTAATTAGTGAGCATGGAAAAAATCAAAAAGTTCAGTCAGGAAGTTAGGTTATTTTTCCCAGTGGTTAGTTGTAGGAATGTTGGACTTAAATACTGCCAAGGAACCTGTAAATCATTTCTAAATAGTCTACTTACAAGGAAACATGGGTGACCAGGGATTATGCAGTAACTACACATTTGCAATTGCCAAAGTTTTCTGCATTCAAATGTAAAGTCACTAAGATTAAATATATATATATATGTATGTATTTATAAGGATGAAATGTTTCTGTGGCCCAAATTCTCTCTCATATGAGGAGAGCTCTGTAAATTGAATTTTTACCTTGTTGTTGTGTACTTAATCTCTGACTTTTTTTTAAATTTCATTTGCTCTAAATTGCTCTTTATGGCTTAATCTTTGAACTCTAGTGAGCAACTCTCAATTGCTCCTAAGTAAATGTGAAAGTACCCAATGCTGTGGTTCAGCAGTCCTATGCTTATGCAAATTGGAAGCTGTCTAGTAATTTTAAAAAGCTCCTCACTGTGCAGAATGATTAAAACTAATTGGAGCGCTTAATTTCTCTCCTCCACCCCTCTGGTTTTTTGGAGTGCAGTCAAGCATGTTTCTGGAATGCCAGAGAAGTTTCAGATCAGATCAGCTCAAAGGAAAGGGTTGCATTTAAAAAGAAAACCAGTTTTACACAAGTCAAAGTAACAAGACAGGAGGCAGTAAAATTTGATGGAGGACAAAATCTGTTTGCAGAACAGTCTGTATTTCCAAAATAGAACTTCAGGAAATAGGGTAGGGTTGTTACAGGGCATTTCTAGGTGCTGTAAGAGCAGTGAGGTGCCAGGTAGGAAAACACAGCTTTTTCTGAAATAAGTTCTGTCTTAGGTTCCCCATGATAAGTTCTTAGTTAAGATGATGTGTCTACTTAAAGTGAAGATCTTTTCTACAGAGGCAGCCTAGATGGATACCTCCAATATCCTCATGTCTTCAGTGAGCTTGGTGCTTTTGTACCTTGCCAGGGTGAAAGTACAGACCAGTCAAGATCCCTTCCATGTTTTTACTTGGGGAAGTTCAGTAGCTGCTTTCCTCCAGGTGCAGAAAGATACGGTTTTTAATTAACTTTCAACTTTTATTCAAATCCAGTTTGGGTTATTTGTTTAACTCAAGTTACACATTGTATAGTTTTCCAAAGACAAGTATAAACAAAGTTATCCTGAAGCAAGATAAAGACTTCTAGGTCATTTATTCAGAGCTTCATTTTTGGTTTACAAGTGCAAATAGTTTGCCAGATCATTGAATGTGGACTGTATGAACAGCTCCATTATTGCTGCAGAAGTACCCAGAGCCTCAGTCAGAGATACTCCTCTCACAGCTCCACGAAGGACACGTTCAGTCAAGAGCTGCTGTTTCACATCACAGTCTGCTTTCTCTTGGCTGGATTTTCAGTAACAAGAGCAGAATTACATAAAATTGTGGAATTAACCTACCAGTATCTGTGATGTTTCCTGGCACATCAGAAAGAGTCTGGGAGATACTCTCCTATCTTGGACTTTTTTGAGTGTTTTCTCTCTGTCTCATCTCTAGCATATATCCTGTGTTTATCTGGAACAGTGACAGCATAAAAGCCACATAAGTGCCTTCCTGTCATCAGGCACATAAGTGCCTCCTTCATCCTTGTGGCTTGCATTTGCAAAGCCCCTTTTTAGCTCATAAGCCTTCTAGGTAATAAAAAGAAATTCTGAAAGCTTGTTCCAACCTGAAAGCTACCCCCACGCTCCAACCTCGGGGTTACAAAGGAATGGTTTCTATTTCTTAGTAATCAAGAGCAGCACAGAGCACCGGGCTGGGGTGTTGCTGGGGAGGGTTTGTTCAAGCAGGAGCCTGGATGAACTGCATGACAGGTAATCTTCAAGTCATTTCTCCACTGTTGTTTTCCCCCTTTAGTTTGTTGAAGTTGAAGGACAGATCACGTCATTAGTTGATCTGCACCCATCCTTCCTAAGGAAGGGTTACCGACGGGAAATCTTCATCGCTATAGTGTGTTTCCTTAGCTATCTTCTGGGACTAACTATGGTGACTGAGGTAAGTGGTACCAGTGCTGCAAATTGCCTTCTTTTTTAGCCACTTTTCAGGCCAATTTTAGCTATGATTGAGACTGCAAAGAACTAGCGACTCAGAGAAGTGCTTTTAGATGGACAGAGCATCTTTCATCCCTACATCTGAAAGGATTTTGAATGGGAGTTATATGTCCCTTCCCTTTTCAGTCACAGGAACAGAAACATGAAACCTCATTCAATTCAATCTGATCTCAGGTGCCAGTCAACATGAGTATTAACATCTATTCTAAATGATGAAACATAGAGGAGACCTTCAGCCGAGCACTTTAAGAACCCATCCAGTGGCATGCAGGGAAAGAGATTTTTATCTTAGTTACACAGATTTGAATTAATTAAACACCACTGGGTTTATTCTAGTATAGACAAGACAGGAATATGTTCCAGTTCCTGCACTGTTGTGATATTTATATTCAAAATAAAATCCAAGACAGATTTTAAAAACATCTGAAAGAGCATGATTGTGGGAGGTAAAATAGCACCTGTTTCAAAGATGCCCAAACCCCACAGTTTTTCAAGTGAAAGTGCAGGTAGTAAGAGTAGAGTTTAACTGCAGAGTATAAATAGAGTTATAAAACAAAAAATGAACTATTTTCATGAAAGTAGCCCTTTCACTCAGTAAGTAAATGAAGACCTTCCTGATGAGCTGACTTTCATATCTAGTCTTTTTAAGGTGTTAATGTTAGGATGCAACCATTTATTTCTTTAAATGCCCATCCTAAAATATTTGTAAGAAGGAAAGATTTAAGTGTCTCACTAGATTATATTAAGTGGCTTAATTTTGTTTAATCATTGTCTTGTTTGGAGTTATTCCTGTAGTAGACATGCATATTCCCTGGGGAAGGTAATGCCAAACATTTACTTTACCTATTTGCTAGATGCTGCTTCTTGTTGGACAGGAGTTGTTGGGATATGTTGGTAGATGTTACTGGGAGCTGGGCCTGAACTCTTGGGGTTTTTTTTCCTGTGGGATCTTCACCAATTGTGTCTCTCTTTTACAGGGTGGCATGTATGTTTTTCAACTCTTTGACTACTATGCAGCTAGTGGTGTATGCCTTTTGTGGGTTGCATTCTTTGAATGTATTGCTGTAGCCTGGGTTTATGGTAAGTGAGAATCCTTTCATCTCATAACTTTCGATGAATCAGTGACAATTTTTTTAGCCAAATATATAATCATCAGCCACCCCAGAGCCTTCTTCTCAGCAACAGACTCATGCCATTAATATAAATTTGCCCTGACCTCTTGAAGACAAATTTGCATCTGGGATGAATTCAAACTCCAGTGTTTTTTCCACAAAAAAATGAGTATTCTTCCATTGCTAATTAATAAGGGCACAATTACGCATTTTCATGTGTTAAGTTTAGAGGTGAGAGTTGAAAGTGTGGCCAGCCATGAAAATTTCTGTTTGTCTCTCAGAGAGTTTCCTTTCAGAGCTGCAATGTCTGCAGGGACAAGCCAACCAAACAGAAAGTACAAAAAGAAAGCAGAAAGTATATTCTGCCCCATTACTTCTGGCAATGCCAGGCACCACAGTCTGACAGTGGCCTCTCTAGCTGAGCTGTGGCTGGGGAATAATCAGATGTGTGCTGATTAGGACTGGTTATTTCTCTGTTTCTCCATTAATTCCTTCACCTCAGAAAAGCAAAACAAAGTCAGAATTCTGTAGAAGCAGGTGCACTGTTTGCTGTCAAGTCTTTCCCATGGTGATCAGTTCAGAGAGAGTCTGAAGAGAGGAGGTGTGACAGGGGCAGGAGAGATTAGCATCACACTCCTGCAGCCAAATAATGAGGGGAGGGCAAGATTAGGGATGCCCCAACCTTTGAGCTTTTCAAGAAAATCATCTTGGACTTCACAGCTGTGGGAAGCAATTGAAGACTACATCTGACACGCTCATTTTCCTTTTAAATACCCCTTTGGGAGCCTAGGAAAATAGCTTTAATCCTACCGTATTTACAGGGCTTTTATTTGCTCGGTTCTTGCAGGCGCTGATAATATTTATGATGCCATTGAGGATATGATTGGATACAGACCTGGTCCCTGGATGAAGTGGAGCTGGATTGTGATCACACCAGTTCTCTGCGTGGTGAGTACTGACCTGTGCTCTTCAAGCCTTATGCTTGACAGTGCTAAGCCACCTCTTACTGCTTCTCTTCAAGGGAAGGCCAATTTGCAAAGAGAAGCTGAAGGCTTGAACATACCTCTCAAAGACATGATGTTCTCAGATGTCAGCTGTTAACATGACAGCTTTCTAGTCTCTACTGTGCCTGCACAAATTGCAGTTGGCTACATTTAAATGTATTTTTCTTAGGATTGGCAAAATTCTGCATTCGTGAAGAGAAAACTCACTCTCCAAAGAGCAGTCCCTACTTTAAGACATAGGACTGCTAGGCTGTTGTAATAAAAAGACTTCAGCAGTCTGAGGCAGACCTTGGCTTGAAGTATTTCATTGGGTGGAAAGAACATCCTGGTAATCTTGCAGTGTACAGCAAATAGTTGAGCCCTGAAGAAGAATTGGCAGTGTACTGCAGCTGTTCAGCACCATCTCACAGCACTCTGTCATCACACAGCAGATGCTATAAGCAGATGCAGATGCTCTTCCAATGATTGAAATGGAAGAACAATTCCCCCATTTGTTTAAAATACATATGGTATCCATCAGCCCGGCCTTTCACTGCCTGTCTTCCTCAGGGCCAGTGGTTGCACCACAGCCCTACTGCTTTAAGCATTTTTTTGAGCCTCACTTTATTTTCCTTTCTCATCCACAGGGGTGCTTTATCTTTTCTTTGGCCAAGTATAAACCACTGACCTACAACAAGGTCTACACATACCCAGACTGGGCAATTGGCCTGGGCTGGGTTCTTGCCCTTTCCTCCATGATCTGCATCCCTATGGTGATGGTCATCCGCATCATTCGGTCAGATGGGTCACTCATTGAGGTAAGAACAACCAATGGTCTGTCTAGAGGAGAAAGGGAGCTTTAACTTGTTGTGTTTTGTACAAAGTAATGCTTGGAAAACTGCCACCTTTCACAGGTAAGGCAAATAAGACTCCTAAAGATCACCTGTCCTCTGGGCAAACAGTAGAAAGAGAGCACAAAGCCTTCTGTCCTCATATGAACTCCAAGTGATTTTACTCATGTCCCACTTGTGCAGCTTCCAGCTTGGCAAACCATTACCTCCACGTGCAGACAAACATTCAAGGACTGGGGTGTTTCTGAGTCTCAGGTTTCTCTTCTCCAGCCCCCAGAGACACAGAAGCACCATCCTGAAATTTGCTGGGAAAGCAAGATAAAGAGAGAGAGACCTAGGTCAAACCCAGTTGTGTGAAAACTCATTGAATTTCAAGGAAATTCAGATACACCTGTGGATTATGTGGCTCTTAGGCATGCCCTTCACTGTGAGGAACTAAGTCAAACCCTATTGACAGAAGGCTTCACTTTTTAGCTTTTTAAATTTGTGTTTATTTTATTTCAAACTGATACTGGATCCAGATTGCCCTGGTATTGGAAAACTTTGTGTCTGGTTAAGACTTGACAGTGCAGATTCCCTCAGGTTTGGATTTGCAGGAAATCTCTTGCACTTTGCAGTTCAGTCTGGGCTCCTGTAATTTTTTCTTTTCTTGCAGTGGAAAGTTTTTAGAGGCTGTGCAAGCATGAAATTTAGCAATTCTCCTCAAAGTTTTCAGATTAGTTTTGTTTTTTGCCTGACAAGTTGATCTTAAATGCAGCTCAGGGTATTCTTGGAAAAGAAACTGGGACACTTTGGGTTAGGAAAAAAGAGAATAGGATTTAAAAAAATACCAAACCCAAACATTTCTCAGAGCACAAGCACTTGCATTTGTTTTCGTCCAAGTGTTAATGGCCTTTTTCAGCTGTGGCCAGGGCATAAGTGTTAATTTTCCTGCCTACATTGTCACCATTGTCACCATGAGACACAAGTCTAAAAGTAGCCAAAACACTGCTCAAAGACCATGTTAGGAAAGGAAGGAAAGTAAACACTGGTCAGATGCCATTCAATTCTTCCTTTGTGAGCTGAGATGTAGGACAGAAGTTGCCACTTGGCAGTGCAGGCTGGGCTGAGAGGCAGAGCTGTTTCTAAATGAGGAAGGAGGACACACATCATTTGCAGCACTGGATAATGCTCCTGTCTGACTTCCCTGCCTCAAATCAGGCTCTGCAACTGCAAGGCTTCAACTCCTTGCTCTGCAGCTGAGCAGGAGTTGAAGGCTGCACAGATCCCCACATCCTTACAGAGCCACAGGCACACATCTCCCACAGGCACCATCCCTGTCCTTGGAATGCTGCGTCCTGCACGTGGAGGCACAGAGGCCTTCTGCTCATCTCACCTCTGCTCTCCACAGAGATTTTCTGCTCATCTCACTCTGCTTTCCTCAGAGGCCTTCTGCTCATCTCACCTGTGCTCTCCTTCTCTCTTGCAGAGGATAAAGGCAGTGGCTGCCCCCAAGGAGGTGAATCGGTGGTCCAAAGAAACGGAGAGTGGCACCCCCTTCTGCCCCAATGGAACTTCGAATGGCGGATTGATCAAGCCAACTCATATCATTGTGGAAACCATGATGTGAGCTCTCTCTGTGAGAGGATAAACCTGCTTTAACTGCCGTTTACTAACCATAGATTCTCATAGGACCAGGTTTACAGAGCTTTATATTTGCACTAGGATTTATTTTTATTTCTCACAGAGAAAGTTATTTTTTGTGTGTGTGTTTTTTTTTTTTAATATTTTGTAAGGTAATCACAGCAGACGTCTCTCTGTAGAGGGAGAGCTTTCATATCAGACTAGACATATTACAAGAATTTACTATTATTGGGTTTTTTTAAATATATATATCTTTATCTCTAAATATTATACACCTTACCACTTGAATTGATTGTCTTACCAGCAATACATTCAAGTCTCAGAAAGCAATTTTAGGTGCTGGTATGGTTGGGAGCAGGGTAACCTACAGAACACACAAAAGGAGCTCTGTTGAGAGATACATTTTTTTAAAAAATGCTGTTTCAAGAGAATTTTCAAAGGTGTAGTATTTCCACCCTCTGGTTCAACTGTGGTAAACGACAGGTGTCAGGGTCACTTTAGGGAGTGGGTAGAGCTTTGTTTAGTGCAGTCCCTGGATAAGGATATGGCCAAATAGCTGGAGTGGAGAGTTTGCAAGGGATGCAGAGAAGCTGGGTGTGAACAATCTTGTGGCTGTACCTCCCAGGGACAGCACTGGGACCCTGTCACACTGACTGAGGAGAATGTGAGGAAGGCATATGCAGGATTTGGCATGGTTCAGTCTTTTTTTGTTATTGTTTATAAAATTTTTGAGATTTTTTTTTAACTTAAATGAAATGCCTGCTGTTTGTGTGTGAGCAGGGAGGCTGAGTACCTGCTCCTGAGTTTTCTAGCAAACCGTATTTCGGTGTGGTGGCACTGGTGTAAACTTGAATTCTGCACACAGCAGGGATGAGCACAAAGCAGCCAAGAGAGGAAAAGCAGCACCTGCTCTCTGGATGCTTCAGGTGTTTGCTTCCTCATCTGGACTTTGGTTTGGGCAGGAAAATAAAAGAATCACTTCTGGACTCTGACCGCCCAGAGGTGAACACAAACCAGTTCATCCCTGACAGGAGGAACAAAACCTGGTGTAACAAAACACACACCTGGTGTAACTGGTATTGATAACAGACATGCTGTTAATAATAATAGTAATAATGATAATAATATCACACAGCAAACAGGTGCTTTTCATCCATGTATCTCAAAAATGCTTTTCCAAGTTCAGTAACCAGGATTTGCTTTATTTATTTATTTTTTGGGGGAGGTCATTGCTGTTGGAGGAACAGACAAAAGGACTAAGTGAATCCCTTGTCCTATGTTACTAAATAGCAGTAATGGACCTAGAGGCCCCAGTCTCCTTGCTCATTATTAGATTAACCCATTATTTTATTTTATTTTACTTTATTATATTCTATTTTATGTTATTTTTAGGGGGGCTGGAGGTTGGCAAACATATTTATGATTCTTATCTGCTGAAGAGACAGGGCGCTTTGGAATTTAAGTTGAAGCAAAGGGAACACGCAATACTGAAATATTTTGTGTTGGTCAGAAGGAATTGGGTACCATTCCAGGTGATACTGGGAAGTGAAGAGAAATCCCTATAAGAAATATAGAAATGGGGGTTCCACTTCATGTAGTGTAGGTGAATGTTTCTGTGGGGAATTGGATCCCTGAAAACTGTCCAAAACATGGACAAAAGCCTTTTTCTTGTTTTCCTCTTTTTTTTTTCTTTTTTTTTTTTTTTTTTTTTTTTTTTTTTTTTTTTTTTTTTTTTTTTTTTTTTTAACTTGAGCAGATTGTGCTGGGAACGGGTTCTCTGGCAAAACTCAGCCTTGTCATGTGGGCATTGTATTAGAGAGAGAGAGGTTTTTTTCTTATGATACCACAGGTAGTCTATCCAAAGGTATTTAGAAGAAATGCTTGATAAAAGCAGAGTTTATCTGCTTATTCTGTTGTAAGCTTAGTCTGTCAAGGCAGAGGTTGTCACTTTTTTAAACAGGAACATAAACAGTTCTTAACATTCCTATATAGTAGCTTTATTTCATTTTTTTCTTGCCCATGTGCTAACTGGCCACAGCAGCACAAACATTTCTTAACTTATTGGTTTCCCTGTAATGGGGAGTTTTAAAACTAAGAGATGGACCAAACTAATTATTCATTATTAGAGAAAAACATCATTGCATCCATAACTTCCAAATCCTTCTAGTTTGAATTCATAGATACTTTTACAACAGAGAGCAGAGTTGCAGCCACAAAACCTGCCATGGTAGAATTGTGTTTTCTTTTTTCTGGTTGCTGCATTATGAGAGTTCTGAAGGAAACTTTTGCACAGCTGGAGATGGCAAATATCAAAATGACATCTACTGGGCCAGTAGTAGAAACCACCCAAGGTTACAGGAGGAATTCTGAGAGCCAGTCGGTGTCATCAAATGTGCCCAAAATAAATATGCATGCAGCAATTTTATTTTTTTTAACAATCAAAGGCAAGGAAATGTAACCAAAACCACTCTCTTAGTGGGCTTCAGCTTGGACTCTCATTTTTGAGTTACAGTCAGTGTCTGCAGTAAACAGACACGGGTGAAGAGGAAGTAGAAGGTTAGGGGGGTCTGAATTAATGGTTTTTGTGAGTGCAGATGAAACACTGATGCTTGATTTATTTCATTTATATATATATATATATATATACATTGTCATACAACTGTGTTTGAGATTATATAGTTCACACATTACTTTTGTGCTATAGAGCTGAGACAAGTTTAGTTAGGGAAAAAAAATGGTTTGGCTACATCAAAGATGTCACCAGCAAGTCAGCTGGGTGTTTGGGCATCTCCCACGTTGTGGAGAGTGTCTTAGTGGGAAGAACCAGAGGGATAAATACTACACCTTTCAAAATACAACTACCAGAGAATAGAACCCAGCCCCATTTCAGTACAAACTGTGCCATTCAAATCAGTCGCTTCCATGTTCCAAGTGAAAAGGTCTCGCACATATGCAACAACCTCATTGAAGATTCTCTGTGTCAGCTTCCCTGGCCCTGCTGTGCCCTTCAGCACAACTGCAAGGGAGGGCTGGGGCTCACCAAGAGCCAAGAAATCATTGCTTCTTTAAAACAGTTCCCCTCTCCTCTCCTCCCTCCCCCGACCAAAAAAAAAAAAAAAAAAATGTACTTAATTCTTCTTGTTTTATCTGGGGTTTGAGCTCCAGTGAGCACATTTGCATTTTTACAGTTTGGGGTTTTTACCTAACAATTTTATCAGATTTCTAAACTTTTCTTGGTGATTAATTTGCATTTCAACATGATCCTCTGCCAAATTTATTAAAACATAATTTTTAAAAAAAAGTTTGTGTTTTCTACCTATTTTGACTGCAAAGACAACTGATTTTTTTTCCAATATTTACTTGTTCAAGTAATACTCTTATGATGTATTTTACCTGTTTTGTGTAAATGAGGAACTCTGTGTTAAAGCATCATGACTAGTTATAGATGAACGGGTTTGGATCTGGGAAAACAGTGCAGTTTTGGCATGAGATCTGTAGAACCAGATCCCTGAGATTTAAGCCAGCATAAACCAAGACAACACGCACACCTTTTCATGTTTCATGTACCTTTGTATTCATGGGGTCTTCTGGGCTTGAAAACAGCAGAGTTTCCAGCAGTATTTATTTCCAGCTGAACTGAAATCAAGAGATAGTAGAAATGTAAAGGGGAACATATCCCCATGAAATTTTTCTAATCTGTTTCATATTTTTCTCAATTTTCCAAACCTTTTCAGTTCACCTGTCACTAGTGATGATCTCTCTGAATCAGTATCTATTCTAAGGGACTTTACCAGTAGTCTGTATCTCAGTGTTTAAACAGTATGATTTCATAAATAGAACTGATTTTTTATTGTTGTTGTTGTTATTATTCTATTTTTCCTTCTCATCTATAGTTTTCCATTTCATCTGGTCCAAACAGATCCACACACTTAGAAAAGTCCTCTTTCAAGTTTGAGATAGTAGGTCCACAATGGATTTGTTCTTGTGTAGTAAATGAAAATACAAAAGCCTGGCAGCTGTATTTGCCATCTAGAGCAGTGCTGGTGGCCACCCCACAGCAGCAGCACAGCTCCTGGAATTAGGGGTGGAGGAGAGTTAGGTATGATCTGCTGAAACAGCTCAGCAAAATTGATTTTCACTGCTGTTCTTGAGGAGAGGACGAAATGAGAAAAAGAAGGGGGGAGAAAAATAGTGCAGCCTTACAGTTGCTGTAACACCAAGAAAACCTCAACAACATCAGCAGAGCTTTTGTTGTCACCACCAGGACAGCACCTCCTGCAGCTCTTTCCAGCCCTGTGTTCATCCTCCTTTCCCAACTGCAGATGCTCCTGGTTCCTCTTCTTTCTCTCAGCATTCAAGTAGATCTGAAGACACATGGACATCTCCATTCAATAGATCTTTTCCAAGTCTCCTCCTGGTCTGTTTTTTATTTGCTAAGGAGACTTTCTGTTTTGTTGAGGTTGTGCTTTCACATTTGAGTTCAAAGCTCCCACCTGTTGCATCACTGGCAAACTTCCAGCTGTGGGAGAAGGATTTGAACACTTTTGAATAACTGATTATTAGCTTCCATGTCTTGTGGTCCCTGCAGGATCACTCATGGAGGCATAATGTATATAAAATGTTAAATAAGCTGTGCATTGAATGCAGTGGACAAGTTAGTTAAGCAGCTCAAGTATGCTTGGAAGAAAGATGACCCTGACATCATTTCCAAGGAGATTCAATGGAAGTTGCTCACTTTCAGTAAAAAGAATAAAAATAAATCTGTGTTTAAGTAGACTAGTAGATGAAATCTTCCACCCTCATATGCACGCACACAGTGGGGACATTGCTTCTATTCCTAGGCTGCAAATCATGTGTGTAAAGCTTGCCAAGCTGTTCAGGATGAGGATTGAGGAGGTTTAGGCACCACTTGCCTGCAAAGAGCCAACCTGACAGGGTGTCCAAATGGTCTTTCCTAAATGGGGGTGGCGGAAGAGGGAAAGTAATAGCAAAACCCTGGACCATGGCCCCCTCCAAAGAAGCCTTAAGGTTGGATTTGTAATTTCTCCTGGCTCCTTGTAGGCACCACATGGCTCCTGGCATGGGAGGTTGGGTGTGGTGTGGGTTCAGGCAGCTGCCCTGGACTTGTTTTCTCCAAAATCAGCATCCAAAGCCTTGTGGTTAGGATTGACGTGTAGTTGTGTATTTGTATATTTGCATGAGCAAAGGTCAGGAACTGTCAGACCCTGGTAGCTTGTTTTATTTCTTATAATCAAAGATAAGCTTAAGAAACAAAGTATTTAGTTGATTTGGTGACACTTGACATTTAAGAAACCCTTGAACTTGTGCAAAAGAGGTGCCCTGAGCTTCATATTTTGGTCACAAAAATTTTCTTGTGGTGTTAGCAGTCAATTTGAGTCT